GCTTCAAATGCATGTTTCCTTTGATGATGATATTTGATTTAATTTGGCCAGAACATGGCCTGCAAAGCAAGAGGTGGAGCGGAGTAGGTAGAAGATAGATGTGACAGGGCCCTGATGTCAGCTCGGGCTGGGACAAAGGGTCTCAGGCCCAATCATGGATTGGAAGGACCTGGGGATCCCAGTCTGGTCATCTGCATTTTGTGAAGTGTCCCAGGGCATCCCAGTGCTTACCTGAGGTGGAGGTGCTGCTCTTGGCCACGGTGGTTCCTCTCTCCAGGTAATCCACCTGTAGGTGGAAGAGCCAGTCCAGAGAGGAGGGCTAGGCATCTACCTGCCCTGACCCGTCACTGCAGATCTCCAGCCCCCAGCTTCTTCCTGGCATGTATTTAGGAATAAAATTGACCTGAGATAATTGGAGCCACTTCACCTTCCCCCACATGGAACCAGATTCCCGGGATCATCTCTGAGCCACTTCAGTTGACCTGGCAGTTTTTTATATCTCAGAGGTCTACAAGTTTCCCTAATTTTTCTTCTTGCCTCAGGTTGGTCTTGTTTTTCCTTTGTTAAAGTGAGTTTCCTTGTAATGGTATAGGTTCTGTTGACAGCATTGCTATTCCCTAAGTGTCTTTTCTTCTCTTTAGGAGTCAGCACTGATAATAGTGCCGTGCTGCAGAAGAGAGGAGTCTAAACTTTTTCATTGCCAGTGCCCTGAAACTGGAGTGTGAAGGCTGAGACAAGATGAAGACTGTGCTCATGGTTGCTGAAAAGCCATCCTTGGCGCAGTCAATTGCCAAAATCCTCTCTAGAGGTAGGAGAGACCAGCCCTACGCTTGTTTTCTTGCTTTGGTCTGTAAGCATGGTCATTTATGTGTTGCAGGACATTTATTTTTCCTAATGTGATTTCATGCTGGCTGGGGTAGATTTGGTTCAGTTCATCAGGTGGTAATGAAGCGTCTCAGTATGTCACTGTGGGGGGCATTTGCTTCCACTCCTGGCATGTGCCAAAGCTGGGGTTCTTAGAAGGCACAAGGCACAGCTTACAGTGAAGCAGAAGGCACAGTCATTATCCAAGTGCCGAGCCTGGCAAGACTGTTGGGTACAAGTAGCAGAAACCAGCCCTGGAAATAAGGAGACACAGCCAGGACCTCACCCCAGTCGAGGTCTGATGAGGCTATGCCCCAGGCATTGTCACCCCTGGGCACTCCCACTATCCTCTGGACCTCACATCACTCCAGAGTAGCCAATGCACTGAGCTGTGGCCACAGGCACTCCTGAGACACCAGGGAGCTGGAGAGGAAATGTCTGCCACTCACTCCCTACTCTGGTCACTAGGGTGGTTGGTAGGGTGCTGTTTCCCCCATCTTTGAATTCCCTCCAAATAGAGTGTTGGATGCTAGTACCCAGAAATGACGGGCATCTACCTGACCTCCCCGTGGTCCAGTAGTTGAGGGAGAAAGAGACCCTAGTTCAGCTGAGAAGTCATGGTCTGCAGGGGACAGGAGACCCCAAAAATGGTGCCCAGTGCCCAGAAGCTGAAAAAGTATGGCTGAGTATGGTCAGTGGAGAGGGTGAGAATTCGATAATTAGAAGGTCCCTGGTAATGGATCTAGAATCCGTTTTAGTAAATGATGAATAATGTTTCAGTGAAGTCAGGCAAAAATGGAATTGAAGAGTGAAAGTATAAATGTAGAGAAAGAGCCCGCCCCTGCCTGCTCCTGGCTCCCGGCAGCCTGGGGCTCTACATCAAGAGTGCATTGTGCTAGGTTGTCGGCAGATGCTGTTTTCCCTGGGCGCTGTCCCATCTTGCAGCGCCCAGTTACCTGCAGAGGTCTGCAGAAGCTGCAGAAGCTCATCATTCTGGGGGAAGAGGACTCTGGCCTTCTGAGAGGTGGCATCTGGGCCGGAGTCTCCACAGTGCCTTCAGCTCAGCCGGAGCAGCCAGTCACTTTGTGCTTCCCCACGCCCAGGGAGCCTGTCCTCACACAAAGGGCTGAATGGAGCCTGCTCAGTCCATGAGTACACTGGGACCTTTGCTGGCCAGCCAGTGCGCTTCAAGATGACATCTGTCTGTGGTCACGTGATGACCCTGGATTTCCTGGGTAAGCCCTCCTACCCTCCATTCTACCAAAGGAAGTTCTGCATGGCACTGGCCTGGGTCCAGCTGAAGCCAGGAAATGCCTCTAGGTGGGGAAGTTTGTTCTGACTCCATGAGTCATAAGGCCAGCAGATCATGGAGTGGTGATGAGAGGGTCCCTGGGTACACTGCCCAGAACATAGTCTCTGGAGCTCAGCCCTGGGTGCCCATTGTAGTGGCACCCCTTAGTCACTGCCTTCCCTGTACGGCTTCCTGTGTAGACTAAGTGACGGCACCTTTCTTAGGAAGGGCTTGACCTGTGCAGGCATTTGAGAGAAGGCTGCTGCTGTTTCCTACTTGACCATCATCTGTCCGTCATTTGGTGGCTGCCGTCATTCCCATATTGTTACTGTGTTACTGTTATCACGTACCTTGGAAGGGCCTACATTAGGGACCCGCTGGATGTAGGTGCAGGGCTGTGTGGTTGGCAAGAGTCTGTTCCAGGCTTCTCCCCCTGCTCTGCTGGCTCACTGGCTGGACATGGGGCCAATGACAGCCTCTGTGAGTTTCTACTTCTCATAGTGAAATGGGTCTCACAGCAATGCCATCTGCTTCCCAAGGCTGTAAGGATTCAGTGTGACAGTGAGGGCAGAGCACTCAGCACAGGGCCTGGCACACAGCAAAGCCTCAGCCCTTGTTCTTGCTGCTCATTGATGACAGCAATGACAACGATGGTGACTGAGTTGTGTGGCTGAACATTTGGACCCCAAGTTTTATCTTCAGCTGGCAAGTGGGGAGCCAGGATTTGAATTTGGCTCTGTCTGACCTTATTTTCCCAGGATGCAAAAAAATGGGGCCTAGGAGTTCAAGACCAGTCTTGGCAACATCGTGAGACCCCTGTCTCTACAAAAAAAAAAAAATTCATTTTAAATCAGCCGGCACGGTGGTGTGCACCTGTAGTCTTGGGAGGCTGAGGTGGGAAGATGGATCGAGGCTGGGAGGTCGAGACTGCAGTTAGCCATGATCCTATCACTGTACTTGATCCTGGGTGAAAGAGAACCTATCTCAGAAAAAAAAAAGAAATGGGGCCTAAAAGAAAGCCAGGTGGCTGAGCATGCAAGAATTGGGCCTCCGTAGATGATTAGGTGAATATGTTGAGCATGAGGCTTAAAAAGATCGGTCCTCTAATGGGAATGACTGAGCACATGTGTGCCCCACAGAGTGCTGGGTTCCAGAAACCCAGGTTGGAAGTGCCAATGAAGGCACCAGTGGTGGGATCCAGTGCTCAGGCAAAGCGAGCCAGTCCAGGAATGGTGCTCCCAGCCACAGGGAAAGTCCCAGAAGTGATAACTGAGCAGCGGCCCTCTAAGCAGCCAAGCAGAAAGGAGACTGGATGGGAGGGGGTTACCAAAAGCCTGAACCCAGTATCCTGGCTCTGCCTCTGATCATCAGGATGACCCTGGGCAAACTGTTCTCCAAGCTTTCCCCTCTTCATTTGTGGGATGAGACCAACATCCTCCTGTTGTTATGATGGTCTCAGAGGCCAAGCCCCTGTAAACTGAGATGTGATTCAATGTCACTATGACTGGTTTGTAGGAAAATACAACAAGTGGGACAAAGTAGACCCCGCAGAGCTGTTCAGCCAAGCTCCCACGGAAAAGAAAGAAGCTAACCCCAAGCTGAACATGGTGAAGTTCCTGCAGGTGCGTGGGGCTGGCCTGGGCATGAGCACACCAGGGCCCCCACCCCTCCACAGCTGGCAGTTTCAGATGTCCTTGCCCACCCTTGGTTGAGTCCTAATCCCCCTTGGACAGGGGAGCCTTTGCTAGCTCTTTCTGTGAGTGCCCCCTGCTGGCCCAGGAGGCACCTTCAGGCACCTCCAACACACATAAGGCAGTTGATATTGCCAGCCCTCAGTCCTGGAGAGCAGGTCTTCTGCTTTGAAAATAGCTTGTTTCAGCCAGGTATGGTGGCTCACGCCTGTAATCCCAGCACTTTAGGAGGTGGATGGATCACGAGGTCAGGAGTTCAAGACCATCCTGGCCAACATGGTGAAACCCCATCTATACTAAAAGTACAAAAATTAGCCAGGTGTGGTGGCACACGCCTGTAATCCCAGCTACCTGGGAGGCTGAGGCAGGAGAATCATTTGAACTGGGAGGCGGCGGTTGCAGTGAGCCAACACCATGCCATTGCACTCCAGCCTGGCAACAGAGCAAGACTCCATCTCAAAAAAAAAAGAAAATAGCTTGTTTGGTTGGAGATTTTTTTCCCCTTTAACTTTAAAACAAATGCATACAGATATGGAAAACTAGAAAGTACGGATAAGTAGAAAGACAAAAAAAATATTTGTAATCATACTACCCAAGACAACTGCTGTTATCATTTAGGGTTATTTCATTTTAACCCTTTTTCTGGGCAGTTTTGGGGTTTGAGATCTTGTTGCATTTATATCTATCTATAGATATATATTTTTTTTTGGTTCTGGGGATCCAAAAGCAGCAGTTATAAACTTAATTGTTTTCTGTTAGCTGAGCCAGCCTCGCCACAGCCAGCTCCTTGTCCAGCCCCGGTACCAGTTCTTCTAGCTGAGGTTCAGGGCCTGGGCCCAAGCCCTGTGCTGGATGGGAGCACTGGGGGCAGGCGGCACGAGCCGGGCCTGCAGTGGGTGCGTGTGAACCTGTGCTGTATGGCAGGTGGAGGGCAGAGGCTGCGACTATATTGTGCTGTGGCTGGACTGCGACAAGGAGGGGGAGAACATCTGCTTTGAGGTGAGTGTGAAGTTCAGATTGGTCCTCACTTATGGTCTTTCTGACACCATCCCCAAACTGACACCAGCAGTCACATCATTCCTGGACCAAACGAGGGAATACCCTACTGGTTTAAAAACACCTCCCGTCTCCCTTTATTCTGAAACTCCATAGGTGCTTTTAACTGCATAGGCTCTACTAAGGGTGGTCAAGTATTCCTCCGCAGCTGGGAATGCACTGTATCAGTGAACATAGGAGGGGCAGAATTGTCTGGGTAGATGCAGGTTTCAGAATGGGGCTGGCTTAGGGCAGCTTGATTTTCAGCATCCTGTGCCCAGCGTGACCTCTCAGAGACCTTGGCTTGATACTGCTTGATTCCCGACCTCAACACTGAGCTCCTTTTGCAGGCCTCACTCTGCTCATCTCCTGCTCTACCCAGGATGCCTCCCGCCTCCAGCCACCTCTGGGAGCCCTGCAGAGAAGCAGGTGGCAGCTCCCTGTGCACACCCCAGGCCCAATGCTTGCCTTGGCCATGGTGCCCTCACAGTGGTCGTGACTGCTGATCTCACTTGGTACCCTTCAGGCTGTTGTTCTCTATGCGTTGCCCCTGTGCTCCTGCACCCCCAGCTCTCACCCGAGGCTCAAGAGCTGGTTCCAGTGAGATAGGGAGCTCAGGCACCTGTTGTTACAGTACAGCACCCTCAGCAAATGCAATCACACTCTGTCCCTTTTCAGATACCCTCTCCTCCCCTGCAGGGTGGCTTCTCCCTGGGGGCCTTTGCATCTAGGAGTGGAGAATGGGGGCAGCTCACAGGGCTTTCTCCCTTCAGAAATGAAGCCACTTATTCCCCGTAAGGAAGCTGCATGGCCAGGCTCCGGCGGCGACCCTAGTCCCACTGCATGGCCTTCCTAGTGAGTCTCGGCTCCAGGACCCCTGCTGTGCTTTAGCCCAGCTGCCCCCACCACAAGCTGGGACCACCTGTGGCCTTCCTGCTCTTGCCCATTTCCTTTTGCCTTCATTCTTTTTTCCTTCCCTGTCTTTTCTCCAGTCTTTTAAAATTTTCACCCACCCTTCCAAGCCTTCCCTCCTTCTAGAAGGCAGGGAATTGGATCACATGGGATGGATTTGGGGACTAAGAGGTCCCTCATGTACTTGGCAGTAGCATTTCCTGATTTGGTGGGGATTAAAGCAGAGGATCAGAAGAGAGAGGGCGGGAGTGAGAAGGGAGTGTTTGAATGCGTTTTGAGATGGAAGGAAAGGAAGCCACATGGTGGGGTGTTATGGAGAACCCAGGGCTTCTGGAAAGCCAAGGGGATAGAGAGGGTCCGGCAGGGGCAGGAGAGGGGGCTGAGCACACGTGCTCTTCCCTGGAAGGAGCCAAGTTTCACAGTGGGGTGGGGAACCATGGCAGGGATCTGGGAGGTGGGTCACAGCTGGCCACTCCCCACCCCCAGGTTCTTGATGCTGTTCTGCCCGTCATGAACAAGGCTCATGGCGGCGAGAAGACCGTGTTCCGGGCCAGGTTTAGCTCCATCACGGACACAGACATCTGTAATGCCATGGCCTGCCTGGGCGAGCCTGACCACAACGAGGCACTCTCAGTGGATGCTCGCCAGGAGCTGGACCTGCGCATCGGCTGTGCATTCACCAGGTGCTGGCCATACCTGCTTAGTCCTGGGTATACCCTTACTCTCCCTCAGCCAGAGCCCTGCTTCTACTGGTCCCTCTCAGGGGCGCCCAGGCCTCCCAGAGCCCGGATGAGCAACGGGATTTCACCAACCCTGAAGAAGGCTGGGCACGGTGGCTCACACCTATAATCCCTGTACTTTGGGAGGCCAGGATGGGAGGATTGCTGGAGGTTGGCAGTTTGAGACCAGTCTAGGCAGCATAACAAGACCCTATCTCTACAAAAAAAAAAAAAAAAAAAATTATTTTTTTTGAGACAGAGTCTTGCTCTGTTGCCTAGGCTAGAGTGCAGCGGCGCAATCTCCATTCACTGTAAACTCTGCCTCCTGGGCTCAAGTGATCCTCCTACCTGAGCCTCCCACCACAAGTGCTACAGCTGTGCACCACTATGCCTGGCTAATTTTTGTGTATTTTGTAGAGACAGGGTTTCACTCTATTGCCCAGCCTGGTCTCAAAGTCCTGAGCTCAAGCAATCTGCCCACCTCTGCCTCCCAAGTGCCGGGATTACAGATGTGAGTCACTGCACATAACCTAAAACAAAAAAAAGTTTTTTTGAGACTCACACTGTCTGTCATCCAAGCTGGAGTGCAGTGGCACGATCTCAGCTCACTACAACCTCTGCCTCCTGGGTTCAAGTGATTCTCATGCCTCAGCCTCCCGACTAGCTGGGATTACAGGTGTGCGCCACCACTCCCGGATAATTTTTGTGTTTTTAGTAGAGATAGGGTTTCACCATGTTGGCCAGGGTGCTCTCGAACTCTGGACCTCAGGTGATCTGCCCCCCTCGGCCTCCCAAAATGCTGGGGTTACAGGTGTGAGATACTGTGCTCAGCCAAATTTGTTTTTAATTAGATGGGTGTGGTGGTGTGAGCCTGTAGTCCCAGTTATTTGGGAGGCTGAAGTGGGAGGATCACTTGAGCCCAGGAGTTCAAGGCTGCAATGAGCTATGATTCCCCATCAGTGCACTCCTGCTAGGCAACACAGCAAGACCCTGTCTCTACAAAAACAAAAAAGACCTGAAGAAAATTGTTTTGTTTTGTTTTTTTTGAGACAGAGTTTCGCTCTTGTTACCCAGGCTGGAGTGCAATGGCGCGATCTCGGCTCACCGCAACCTCCGCCTCCTGGGTTCAGGCAATTCTCCTGCCTCAGCCTCCTGAGTAGCTGGGATTACAGGCACGCGCCACCATGCCCAGCTAATTTTTTGTATTTTTAGTAGAGACAGGGTTTCAACATGTTGACCAGGATGGTCTCGATCTCTTGACCTCGTGATCCACCCGCCTCGGCCTCCCAAAGTGCTGGGATTATAGGCGTGAGCCACCATGCTCGGCCCTAGAAAATTGTTTATTTAGCTGACAGAGATCACATAGGCCCTGCTTGATAAAGTATGTTTGTCCATACTGTGGGAGTCCTGAGGAGAGTGTGCAGTAGGTGGAATAGAATAGAAGTCTTCCTGGCCTGAGACAGTAGAAACTTCTATCTACTCTCTCACTGGCTCTGTCACCCATGTGCGTATACGAATCCTCTCTAAGGCTGTACCCACTCTGCTCTCACTGGCTTCTAAGCGGGGACACCACCTAGTGCCACCTCCTTCACAAACCACCCCTGGCCTTGGGCTGGACTCACATGGGTGGCCATAATAGTGTCTTGAGTGAATCAGTGACAAAAATATCTTTCTCTCCCCTCCCCCTACCCTACCACTCCCTCCAGGTTTCAAACTAAATATTTCCAGGGGAAATACGGTGATTTAGACAGCTCTCTCATCTCCTTTGGGCCATGTCAGACTCCAACCCTGGGATTCTGCGTGGAGAGACATGATAAAATCCAGTCCTTCAAACCAGAGACCTACTGGGTGCTGCAGGCCAAGGTTCCTTGCCTTTCTCTATTCATGCTGGGGCTTTCTGGGTTTGGGGCATGGATCCTGAGAGTCTTCCATCATCATCAGCCTGCAGGCCCCAGGCTGAGGGCAGAAGTGTGGGCGGCTATTCCTGGAAGTGGTCTGTGGTGCCCAGGGCTGAGGGACCCCAGCCTTCATGAGGACAATGGGAAGAGACTGGGCCTGTATGTGCTGAATCTGGATAAGTGGGAACGAGTTCAGCTCTGGCAGTGGAGGTTGAGGTTATCCCACAGGAAGCAGTGGCTGCAGTGGTCAGGTGCAAGCACTGGACTGAGGCCATTGGCTTTCAAACTTTTTAAAATTCCTAGAACCCTTTCTTCAACTAAAAGCCTTCACAAAACTCACTGTAAGACTTAATACAGCTAGGCCAGTCACTCATGTCTGTAATCCCAACAGCCTGGGAGGCTGAGGCAAGAGGATTGCTTGAGGAGAGTCCAAGGACAGTGAGCTATGATCGTGTCACTGCACTCCAGCCCAAGCTACATAGTAAGACCCTGCTTTGGAGCTGCTATGGCTAACAGGCTTGGGACCCCCATGGTGGCCATACCTAGCACTGGCCAGGCACTGGGGATAGGCAGGGGTGGTGTGAGAGGAAGGGGCTCAGGTGCTTCTTAAGGACACATCAGCCTCAGCTTCAGGCCCCCTTCCTGAGACTGGCTGCCTGGTTTCTAGGCTGGGGTGAAGAGGGAGGATGTCCGCTTGCATATCTGCCCACCCCAACAGGTATAGCTGTGAGCCATTAGAGCCAGGGCTGTTTTGCTCCCAGACAAGGACCAGCTTCATCTGTCCTGGTTCTTCCTGGCATTGGGCTCACCTGGAGACTTTTTCTTGTGTGTTCACGCTTTATCCTTTTTCCCGCAGGTTAACACTGACAAAGACAGATCTCTCCTTTTGGACTGGGACCGAGTAAGAGTGTTCGACCGGGAGATCGCACAGATGTTTTTAAACATGACAAAGCTGGAGAAGGAAGCCCAGGTGCGCCTGCTCCACCCACACCTATCACAGTTGCCTTGGGTGAGGGTGGGCCTCAGATGGCTCCCACTGGAGGAACAGCCTGTGACCATAGTCCACATCTTTCTCCCCCTTTCTGAAACACAGCCATCTTTTTGGAAAGTGGAATGGTTACTCCCCCATATACTCCTACTAAGATATTCCTACCCAATGCCACAATGTACTGCGTGGCCACTCCATACCAGGCGCTGTGTACACCTGTGACTTTGTCAGGCCCCTTCCACTCTCCCCTTTTCATGTGACCTATTACTCCCTTGTGGCAGGTCTTCATTTCACACAGAGATTCAAGCTAGCAACTGTAGAAGGACCTGTGTGCATGTTGATGAACTTGCCCAAGGTCACAGCTAGCAGGGGAGAGGCTGGAGATCCCAATTTAATCAGCTTGCATGTTTTTATGGGATTACGTTTCTTACTCAGGGTTTCTATGAATTGAAGGACATGCTGCTTGGTTGTTAGGAAAAGGATGAGGTGACCTGGCTGCACAGGTTGGGGACCCATCTGTGGCTACTGAAGTAAACATGCTACAGGCATGACAGCTACCAGATCCATTGAGACACAGCCTGGCCTCCTTAGCTGCCTTCTCCTTGTCCTTCTTCGACCTTCCTTGAGTGCACTTTTGCCCGCCATGCCATGGCAGCAAAAGGTCTCAGACATCTGAGACTTCTAAAGCTGCTCCAGCCTGTCAGCATTGATCACATTCCTGGAGAGACACTGTCGCCGCCTCCTGCCCTTACTTCAGGGAGCCCAGACTCCCTGCTGCATAACAGCTGATCTCCATGTTAGCACCCACATCTGTCAGTCAGGAATGCAGAAGGCACTGCCCTGACCAGCCTACGTGGGTTTGGCAAGGGCAAGGAGTTGAGTTGTTTGGATTGTTCTTGCCGTAGGCAAAACAAAGAGGTGTCTCTTTGAACAAATGCTCAGCAGAGGTAGACAGTGGTGGGACCCCAGTCAAGCACAGCTCACGGGTGCACTTCACTGCCTATGAGGTATTTACAGAAATGCCAGAGCAGTTACCAGTACTTAAAAATTAGGAGATTTCACACGAAAATTCTACCTTCTAGCTTCTCTTGAAAAATCAGAAGAGGTAGCAGTACTACCAGGCACAGGCAGCAGCCCTCCCCACAGCAAGGAGCAGCACTGTCCTGGGACGGGCCCCACTTGCCCTCCCTGTAGCCTGGCTGATGCTGGCTTCTGTAGGATTTCCATCTGCAGCTCTTCTGACTCCTCCTCAGTCTTCCAGGTTTTCTATTCCCCTAGAAAATTCTCAGAAAAGAATATTCAATCACTTGAGGCCAGGAGTTTGAGACCAGCCTGGAACACAGGAAGACCCTGTCTCAAAAAAAAAAAAAAAATTTTTTTAAAGTAGCTGGACATGGTGGCACATGCCTGTAATCCTAGCACTTTGAGAAGCTGAGGTGAGAGGATCACTTGAGGCCAAGAGTTTAAGACTAGCCTGGGCAACATAACAAGATACTGTCTGTACAAGAAATTGAAAAAATAAAAAATTGGTCAGGTATGATGGTGTGTTCCTGTGGTTTCAGCTATTCAGGAGGCTGAGGCAGGAAGATCACTTGACCCAGGAGTTCAAGGCTGATGGTACCTGAGGGTAAGCTCTGACGGTACCGCTGCACTCCAGCCTGGGCAATAGACACTCCAGCCTGTCTCTTAAAAAATTCTTTTTTAAAGAAAATTTTTATTCTTTTACCCTTCCTGGTCCTGGTCCTGAATAAATATTCAATCAAGTCTTTAAACTGTTGAGAAGAAATGAATTAGAGAAGCAGGGAGACCAAATGAATGAGACCAGACCCTTTGTCCACACTTCTTTATTTTTTTTGAAGAGAATTCCTAAGCTCATTATCCACACATCTTGATTTCATCTATGGTGGTATCTTCCTCCTCCCCCAAATCACTGACTATCCTGTCTTCCAGGTGGAGGCCACAAGCAGGAAAGAAAAGGCCAAGCAGAGGCCTCTGGCCCTGAACACTGTGGAGATGTTGCGTGTAGCCAGCTCTTCTCTGGGTAAGTAGGGACATTTCTCTAAATTTAGTCTCCAGAAGGCTTCCTAAGGCAGGCTTGTAGAAGCAGGTTCAGCCTGGAGCAGTGAGTGCCCAAGGAGGCAAGGTGGTGCCTGAGGTTTCAAGATCTGAGCCTCGTGAGGATTTCACTCCTTAGGTTGTAAAGGTGTTAAAGTTGGTCACCCCCTGAGGGGACATCCTGATGTTAGAGTCCCTGAGCAGCTATGTCACCTTCTGGGAACTAGTGTGAACGTCGCCTATCAGCCTGGTCTCCTTTCAGCCTTGTCTCCGCAGTAGTTAGGAGGGGGTTGGGCTGGAAAGCTGGTGGTCTCTGGAAGCTGTCAGCCCCTAGGCATTGGTGCCCCCCTGCAGGGAACTATTGGCAGTGTCCTCTCAGAGTGGTGGCATCAGAGGGCAGCAATGCTGGGAGTGGTTGCTAGCTAAGTGCCAGCCTCTGCTGGCCAGGAAATAGCAAGGCGAGCCCCCCTCAGTGGCCCCAGAGTGCCATGAGGACAGAAATACCCAAGGGCTCAAAATGGGCTATGTGCTAACTCTGCCGTCAGCCAACCCGAGGCATGGTTATGGCTCCGTGGCCAGTGCGTAGGGAGCAGTGCTCTGAAGGCCATGTCTTATCCCCATGGCCACGAGTCCTGAGTGAGCAGCGTTTCCCATCAGGCCCCTCCTGGACCCACTCTCACAGGTGCAGGATTCAACCTCAGACAAGGCTGTGTGGCATAGGTGCCCACCTGGCCAGCAGCTCTGCACTCTAGCCATGCCTGTTCAGAGCCACCCTTACCCTCCAGGAGGGGCTGGCCACCTTGCGGGGAGCCTGAGTACACAGATCAGGGTAGGCACCTGACCCTCTGAGAGCCTCCTGTCTCTCACAGGCATGGGACCACAGCACGCCATGCAGACAGCCGAGCGGCTCTACACACAAGGCTACATCAGCTACCCACGTACAGAGACCACCCACTACCCTGAGAACTTTGACCTGAAGGGTGCTCTGCGGCAGCAGGCCAACCACCCCTACTGGGCTGACATGGTGAGTTGAGCCAGGCCGGCCCCCACATGTGTATGTGTCACTGAGGCCTTAGGACCAGGTCTGGTACTTGAGCCAAACCCAGGCAGGCAGCCGAGCCCAGCCACAGACTCTGCTCTGTCTTCTCTCCCTCAGGTAAAGCGGTTGTTAGCAGAAGGTATCAACCGCCCACGGAAAGGCCACGATGCCGGCGACCATCCCCCCATCACCCCCATGAGGTCTGCCACAGAAGCTGAATTAGGTACCCCTCTCACCCCATACCTGCCATGCTTCCAGGGAGGGAAAGGCAAGCTTCGACAGTGAAGGTTGCAGGCCCTGCTGGCAATGTGGGGCTCCTTCAGCCCCTGCCTGCCCTGGCTGGGGCAAGGGGGGAGTCACCTGGAAAATGAGCTTCATTACTGTGGGAACAGGCCAGGAATGAAGAGGTGGCAGCAGGTGCAGGTGGCTGTTGCAGGGAGGCACGGGGGCAGACAATACAGGGGACATAAATGAAACCAAGGCAGAGAGTGGCAGGTTTCAGCGGTGGGGTGTAGGGGGTGCCTCCTACCTCCCAGCTGGCCTGAGGTGGTACCAGTGGTCCAAGTGCCAGGAGAAGGCAGATGAGGAAGGGAGAGCAGTGCAGGTAGAGACAGGGGCCACTTGTGGACAGTCTGAATTTGAAGTGATGGTGTCATGTCACGAGACAGTAGAAGGATAGGCCCACACCTGAAGAATAGTCCTGCCAGAAGCAGGGGCAAGAGGTTGTGCAGGGTGGGAGGAGCTGCAGCCATGAAGGAACCACTGAGGCACAGAGGTTTGTGTTCCCTTCCTCCACATTTTCTTCTTTTTTTGAGACAGAGTCTTGCTCTGTCACCCAGGCTGGAGTGCAGTGGCCTGATCTCAGCTCACTGCAACCTATGTCTCCCAAGTTCAAGTTCTCCTGCCTCAGCCTCCTGAGTAGCTGGGATTACAGGTGCCTACCATCACACCCGGCTAATTTCTTTGTATTTTTAGTAGAGACAGGATTTCACCATGTTGGCCACGCTGGTCTCAAACTCCTGACTTCAAGTAGGAGTTTGCCTTAGCCTCCCAAAGTGCTGGGATTACAGGCGTGAGCCACCGCGTCCAGCCTTCCTGCACATTTTCTTTCCTGCTTCCCTGAATTTGCAGTGTGTCCCACACAGTGGCCCTGGAAGCAGGACCTTGCTGCTCAAGCAAGAGTGCTAGGGGCTCCTCACGATCAGAGCCTTCAGCTGGCTCCCAGCTAACTAGCCCTGGCCTGTTGCAGGGGGTGACGCATGGCGGCTCTACGAATACATCACCAGACATTTCATCGCCACAGTCAGCCATGACTGCAAGTACCTGCAGAGCACCATCTCCTTCAGGATTGGGCCAGAGCTCTTCACCTGCTCCGGGAAGACCGTCCTCTCACCAGGTCACACTGCGGGCCCAGCTTTCCTCCTCCCCACCTTCATGGGCAGACAAAAAAAAACCATTCTACATTGTGTCTGGGAATGGGAGGCCCAGGGTCTGAGACCCAGGCCCCTCAAGGCTGGGGACCCTGAGTGGTGGCACCTGTCTTTCCAGGCTTCACGGAGATTATGCCCTGGCAGAGCGTGCCCCTGGAGGAGAGCCTGCCCACCTGCCAGCGGGGTGACACCTTCACTGTGAGTGAGGTAAAGATGCTGGAGAAGCAGACGAGCCCACCCGACTACCTGACGGAGGCTGAGCTCATCACGCTCATGGAGAAGCACGGCATCGGTGGGTATGCCTGCCCAGGCCCCAGAGCCAGCTCTGTCTCCAGCACTCAGGCTGAGAGTCTACTCACAAAGCTGCCCAGCCACCCCTATGTGCCTAGCCCAGCACCCATCCATGGACTGGTATCTGGAAACTGATGACCCCACATGTGGCCAGCCTTGCAGGTCCACAGCAGGCATCCCCTCCCGAGGCCTCCACTCAGAACCTGGCCTTCTCTGTGAAGGCCCAGATGTGCCCTCGTGCACTGTGGCGTGGGCACACACTGACTAATGCCCACAGTGCTGACGATTGGCCCAGATGCCAAATGGCTCATAGAAATCATTTTGGCAGTCTCCTCAGTCCACACAGCCAGCCTGGTCTGTCCTGAAGTCACATGACAGGGAAATGAGCTCTCACAGGAACTGCTTCCCTGGCGGAGGGAACAGAAATGCCTGTCCAAGGGACAGGGCTCCCCAAAGGGTGACCAAGAAGTTTCTAACCAAGAATGGGCAGCCCAGGGGAGTTTATCAAAGCAAAAATGTAGTCACCAGTGCACACTCCTCACAGGAGAGGTGGCCTCACAAGTCCTCAGGCCTAGGGCTGAGTGAGGTCTCATATGTTGGGGGCCAGCCTCATTGACAGAACCTTCTCCCAGGTGGCACTCGCACTGCTGGGCACTGCCTGTTGCCTGTGGCTTCATCTCCAGCTGTGCCTGGCTGATGGGTTCCAGAGGCCTGTGGGATGTCACAGCCACTGTGTCCAGGCTCTGCTCCAGCAGTGGTCATAGAGGTGGACTCTCAGGGAGTGTCTCTCCCCAGGCTAGGGTCCTGGTGACTGTGGCAACCTTGGCAGGAGAGCAGAGCTCTGGGCTTGCTCCTCCCAGAGGTCCAGGGCACCTGCCAAGGTCCTGAAATAGCAGCCCTCAGCCCACTGTGGAGTGTGGGCTGTGCTCCCCCTGCGTCTTCTGCTCTCTCCCACTGATGGGTTACTGTGGCTCCTGGCAGCCCTATGGTATCCAGTGAGCAAGACCCAATCACCAATACAAGTTTGTGACAGTGAAGAGGGCTCTGGTGTTACCTTCTGAACAGGAGAATGGTCTGAGCCTGTGACTGAGCCCCCAGGAGTGTGTAAAAGGGGCCTAACCAGGAGCCGCCACCCAGGTCTGGGGTGAGAATACAGCGGGCAGGGCACATGCTGCAGAGGAGCCCATACCACACATCATGGCACCTGGCAGACTCACATGGTGGCAGCACATACTACCCACAGCCTGCCACACCAGGTGCCGAGCTTCGACAGGCTCCTTAGCCCCTGGAGGCCAGTTTCTTCCCATGTGATATTCTCTGCAAGCTGCTTTGGGAAGGTGTATGTCACCTGCCCATGCTGGTGAGAGTGCAGGGAGCCTAAGCTTCTTTTCTGCCCCTCTGACTGGCACCCACCATAGTCAGAATGCCTCAGCCTCTGCTGCGCCCCTCTGCCAGGAAGGCTCTGGGTGGGAGAGAGGAATCCTGGGGACTGGGAGCCTGCCCTGTGTACCGTGACAGGCCTTGCAGAGAGGGAGGAGATGGGAGACAGGAAGTGTCTTTGCAGTGAGCTTGTAAGCACCTCCATGTTCTGGTAGAGGGGGCTCTGGCTCCAGGACCAGGTGGGTGCCACAGGATCCAGGCAGGAGAAGCCAAAGAAGTCACGTTTACCAGGCACAGAATAAGCACTGTGACCTTGGAGAGTTCCTTAACCTCCGAGCCTCTACCATAAAGCAGGAGTAGACCCCGTGCAGAGAGGGCTGCCCTTGTGTTCTCAAGGCAGAACATGAAAGGCATGCAGTTGATGCCCAGCACAGTGCAGTGGGTGCTCAGAGCACAGCCCTCCCTCCTGTGGGTGGCCAGGAGCCGTGAGAGAGCCTGAGCACCAGGGGCCCTGTGGCAGTGGCTACAGCATGTAGTTCAGTGAGGCGTGTCCAGGGTAGGCCAGGAACCCTGGGGCCTTGTACGTTGCAGGCACAGATGCCAGCATCCCTGTGCATATCAACAACATCTGCCAGCGCAACTATGTCACCGTGGAGAGCGGGCGCCGGCTCAAACCCACCAACCTCGGCATTGTCCTGGTGCACGGCTACTACAAGATTGGTGAGTCCCTCGGCCCTGCCCCCAGGGTTCACCGGGAATTCCTAGCTTCTCCCTGGGCATTGGCTCTGCCGCCCCCTCCAGACAGGCCCTGCCCTGGAGTGATCCCCCAGCCCCACATGCACTCCCTCAACACCACTGAAGGGGCGCTTCCCCAGGACCCCCAGGACCTGCCCAGAGCAGGAGCTGGGTGTGTTTGAAAGCTGAATGGACATGTGTGAGGGAACCAAAAGAGGAGGCGAAGGTGCCTCAGCTCTATCCTCTGGAGGTTCCCCAGAGGCCAAGGGGAGAGGGAGGAGCACAGAACTGGCCCAAGGGCAGCCTGGAGCTCATCTGTGATGTGGTTCTAGCCACCGGGCACTCTGCCTGAGATTTCCGGGTGAGAAGTCAGGAAAGGTCTGGGGGTATAGGAGCCAGCCTGGTACCATCTGAGGCTGTGGACTGGCGGACAGGGCAGAGGCCAGGAGGACGGGCCGGAGCAGGAGGGGTGGGCAGGCTCTGGGCATGAGTGCTCAGGGAAGTATCTGCCCCCTGCCCACTTGCAGATGCAGAGCTAGTGCTCCCCACCATCCGAAGTGCAGTGGAGAAGCAGCTGAACCTGATCGCCCAGGGCAAGGCCGACTACCGCCAGGTCCTGGGCCACACCCTGGACGTGTTCAAGAGGAAGTTCCACTACTTTGTCGACTCCATTGCAGGTAGAGTCTGCCTCTGGCCTGCCCCTCATCAGAGGACCCTCTGTCAGCACAGCCAACACCTGGGGACCCCGGTCCCCACATAAGACCAGCTCCCAGATCTGGGCTCCAGGCCTCTGTAGGTCAGGGTAGTGACACCACCTGGCTTGGTTAAAAGAGCAGGTGCATTTGCACCACACATGGCCAAGAGCATGTGCTCTGATGTACGGAGCTGCTGCCCTGCCGTTCTGCCATGGACAGTAGAAACCAGCACCTGCAGGGACCCTCTCACACTCAAACCCTTGACCACGTATGGTGGCGCCTTCTGCCAGAGACTATGAGAGAGGTGACTTCTGCACTCTGCTTGCCCGCAGGCATGGATGAGTTAATGGAGGTGTCTTTCTCACCCCTGGCGGCCACAGGCAAGCCCCTGTCACGCTGCGGGAAGTGCCACCGCTTCATGAAGTACATCCAGGTAGGTTCGGGGAGCACTGACTTGGGCAAGCTGCTTCACCCCTGTGGGCTTCAGCTTTATCGTTGGTCATGTAGGAATTACATTCTTTGTCCTGATTGTCACAGAAGAATGAGCATAAAGCAGCCTTGCCGAAAAATATCCAGCGTCCCCATGACCCCTCAAACACAGCCACTGGGCCATGCAAACACACGGTGCTTTCCCTAACATCACACCAATGCACAGGGATTTCAAACTGCCTTTCTGCATGCTTGGGGCAAGGGCCGGAGTCTCAGGGTCCTTGCCTGGCAGTGTGTCACAGGTTCTACATGACAGGTTACATATGGTGTGTTATGAGAGGAGTGGGGCAGGGGCCAAGTCGGTGGCCTCAGTGACCCTCACACCCCCTGCCTGGCATTACCGCAGGCCAAGCCAAGCCGCCTGCACTGCTCCCACTGTGACGAGACTTACACACTCCCCCAAAATGGCACCATCAAGCTCTACAAGGAGCTCCGCTGCCCTCTGGACGACTTTGAGCTGGTCCTGTGGTCATCAGGCTCTCGGGGCAAGAGCTACCCACTGTGCCCCTACTGCTACAACCACCCACCCTTCCGAGACATGAAGAAAGGTGAGTGCGGCCACTCCCTCCTGTTCACAGGCAGCTGCAGTCTCTGTTCAGTGCCAGCTCCTGCCTTGGACCAGGCCGGACTCCAAGGGGACCCCTCACCCTGGCTTTTACTGCACTCATTGGCACTGAGACGAGAGACCCTGGATATAGCTGGGGCACTGCTCAGGTCTTAGCCAGCCAGTGCCACCCTCTCTCTGTGTCAGAATTAAGCAGGCAACCCTAGTCTACTTTCAGGACCTGGGCACAGGTGTGCAGTGATCCCTCTGGAGCTGAGTGAGCAAGAGGACCCACCCAGTGAGTGGGCACCCCCAGTCAGCGTCCACCACTGTCCTCCATTCTCATCCTCATTACTGGAGAAGGGAGAGCATGTGTCCAGGCAGGCAGGTCAGAGAGCACTGAGCCAGAACAGGAACCTGCTGGAGTAAGGTGTCTGCCCACATTCACCGTGGGCTCTGCAGGAAGCCCCCTCAGGCCTCAGTCTGCCCCGAGGCTGCCAGGAGAGTGAGGCCCCATCTCCACCCTCTTGCTGCCTCCAGAGCAGCTGACAGGGTGCTCCATGTGGCCCAGTGACATGAGGGTCATGTGGCATTACCAGTAACGAGCTGTGGCAGCAAAGTAAAGTGGGGATGGAGTCAGCTGGAACCCACTGGGATGGCACCAGCAAGGGGCCTCAAGAGTTGAGGAGGTTTCAGATAAGCAGAAAACAAAGGTAACAGCAGCCAGGAGCCGAAGCGTAAGCAAAGCTGTCCCCAGGAGCGAGGCCAAGAAGAGTTCCTTCTGCTGGGACGAGGGATCCAGGAGCTTGAGGCATTGGGAGCAGGCTGCAGAGGGCAGGCAGGTGTGGCAAGCATGCCTCACAGGGCTCCCCTCTTCCACCAGGCATGGGCTGCAATGAATGTACACACCCCTCCTGCCAGCACTCGCTGAGCATGCTGGGCATCGGCCAGTGCGTGGAATGCGAGAGTGGGGTACTGGTGCTGGACCCCACCTCGGGCCCCAAGTGGAAGGTAGCCTGCAACAAGTGCAACGTGGTGGCGCACTGCTTTGAGAACGCCCACCGTGTGCGGGTGTCCGCCGACACCTGCAGTGTCTGTGAGGCCGCCTTGCTTGACGTGGACTTCAACAAGGCCAAGTCCCCACTCCCGGGTGATGAGACACAGCACATGGGCTGCGTCTTCTGTGACCCCGTCTTCCAGGAGCTGGTGGAGCTGAAGCATGCAGCCTCCTGCCACCCCATGCACCGCAGTGGACCAGGGAGGAGACAGGGTCGAGGGCGGGGCCGGGCCAGGAGGCCCCCTGGGAAGCCCAACCCCAGGCGGCCCAAGGACAAGATGTCAGCCCTGGCCGCCTACTTCGTATGATGGCCCTGCCCTCCCTCACTCAGGCTGTGGTGCTGTGCAGACACCTCATCGCACTTCAAACTATTAAAATGCATTTTTGTCTTCTGAGCTGGGAAGCCTTTGCTGGTGCAGCAATGTCAGAGGGTTACTGTGTCCCTGGGCACCTGTGGGGCCCTCCTTCCCTCTCCGAAACCCAGTACTTCTCCCTTCAGCCTGCACACACATGCCCAGAGTGCTCCCTGCTCTCCCTACGCTCGCAGTGCAAGCAGGGAGGCCCCAAGCCTGAAGCCCTGGAGAATAGACCAGTCTGCACACACATGCCCAGAGTGCTCCCTGCTCTCCCTATGCTCACAGTGCAAGCAGGGAGGCCCCAAGCATGAAGCCCTGGAGAATAGACCAGTCTGCACTCACCCCATCTCAGTCTGTGCAGCTGATGGTAGCTCTGTGCACAAGCATCGGCCCTGATGCCTTAAGGAAGGCAGCCTTGACAGCCCGTGGCTCCAGCAGGAGAAGAGTCTAATGAAGCAGGCAGGGTTAGGAGACACCCTCCTTGGATCTGGCTCATGAATCCCCTTGGTCTTCGCTGCAGCCTCCTGCCCGGGGTCACCCTTCTGACCCCACGCTTCTGCCAGGTTTAGAAAATACCCTGGAGGCCAGACCACCCTGTGGTGGCGGGTGCTGACAGCGGCCTCCCTGCATCCCCACCCCTGTCCCCAGAGGGACAAGCTCCTGGTGTTACCTCACTTTGTCGTCATCTCTAAACCACAGACCTCAAATGGAATCAGTGCTCACAAGTCTAATACAGCCCCCTCTGAGGAAGCCTGCAGGAATACCAGCTTTTATGGCACCACACTGCACTTCAGGCCTTAAACCCAGACCACTTAGACTGGCCCAGAGAGACCCCAACCCTGCCCACCTAGCCAGGAACGCAGCCTTGACAGAGAAGCAGAAAAGCATCTGTGGCTGGGTGGGTGATACTGAAAGATTCTTTTCACCTGGGTAAGCCAAGAGCCAGGCGCTCAGGCATGATGGAACACGGGCAGTGAGGCACTGACAGAGCCATGTGGCAGGAGTTATCTCACAGGCACGTCCTTGGCCTGGAGCCCATAGGGACAAACTCTTGGTGGTGCCTCACTTTGCGGTGATCTCTAAGCCACAGATCTCGAATACAATCGGTGCTCAAGAGTCTAATGCGGCTCCCTCCAAAGAGACTTGCGGGAATATCAGCTTCTGCTGCACCACACTACACCTTACAGTGTGGGAGGGCCTGCCCCTGCATCACCTCACCTGTTCTGTGGTTCTCAAACTTCACCCCACAGCCATTGTGTTGTAGGTGAAATCAGGGGCAGTTTGAGAAACGGTGGCTCAGGGTCTCACAACAGCCCTCTGAGATAGGATGGTTGTTATTGTCCCACTTTTTACTGATCAAGAAACTGAGATTCAGGTGAGCTAAGGAATGTGCCCAAGGCCAGTGATTATAAGTACCCTCAAGCCTTGCTCGTGGTGACTGCCCTGACAGGGATCGAGGAAGGAGTGAGCAGGAGAGTGGGATGAGGCAGGACCCTCCACCCCAGCCCTGCTTTCCATGCCCAGACACCTCTTGCCTTGCAGCCCAACCCCACCCCAAATGGTTTCCTTTCTAACAACCCAGCTGCTAGTTCTCCAGGTTCCTGGTCTCACCCACTGAAACTCTTCTGTTAGAGAAGCGTCCCAGAGATATTCATTCCTGGCAAGGACACAGGCCTATGGGCCTGAAGGTCAGGTAGGCAGAGCCACAGTAAGATCTGGGTGCCCCATTCTCCATTTAAAACAAATTGGATGGGCGCAGTGGTTCACGCCTATAATCCTAGCACTTTGGGAGGCCAAGGCAGGTGGATCATGAGATTAGGCGTTCGAGACCAGCCTGGCAAATATGGTGAAGCCTTGTCTCTATTAAAAATACAAAGAAGTCTCCACATCCTTAAAAACTTGCTTTCAGATATCAAAAAAAAATACAAAGAAGTTAGCCAGGCATGTTGGCACACCCCTGTAGTCTCAGCTACTCCAGAGGCTGAGGCAGAAGAATCACTTGAACCCGGTAGGCAGAGGTTGCAGTGAGCCGAGATCACACCACTGCACTCTAGCCTGGGACACAGAGTGAGACTCTATCTCAAAAAATATATATATATAGTTTACAACTGCATTGGTATAAAGATGAATATAATATTATGTAATATTAAATCATTTTTTTTGACTTAAAGGTTTCTTTCTTCTGCCTTTAAAATAAAGTATTTTGGCCAGGTGTGATGATTCATACTTGTTACCCCAGCACTTTGGCAGGCTGAGGCAGGAGGATCACTTGAGCCCAAGAGTTGAAGAGCAGCCTGGGCAATATAGTGAGACTCTGTCTCTACAAAATTTGTTTAATCAGCTGGGCATGGTGGTGCTTGCCTGTGGTCCCAGACACTGGGGAGGCTGAGGCAGAAGAGGAGGGTCACTTCAGCCCAGGAGTTTGAGGCTTCAGTGAGCTATGATCATGCCACTGCACTCCAGTGTGGGCACCAGAGAAGGACCTTATCTCTAAAAAGAGAGAAAAAGAATATTTTCTTTTTCATAAGCCTCTGTAGTGGCAGAAAAATGGCCCTTTAGAGATGTTCATGTCCTATACCTGTGCCTGTGTTAGATTACATGGCAGACCAGATGCAGTGGCTCACTCTTGTAATCCCAACACTTTGGGAGGCCAAGGCAGGTGGATCATTTAAGGTCAGGAGTTTGAGACCAGCCTAACCATCATTGTGAAATGCTGTCTCTACTAAAAAATACAAAAAAAATTAGCCCGGTGTCCCGGTATGTGCCTGTAGTCCCAGCTACTTGGGAGGCTGAGGCAGGAGAATCACTTGAACCCAGGAGATAGAGGTTGCAGTGAGCCCAGGTTATGCCACTGCACTGCAGCCTGGTCTCAAAAAAAAAATTACCTGGGAAAGGGGAATTGAGGTTTCTGATCAACTGATTTAAAGTAGAGAGAGGATCCTGGATTGTCTGGGCAGGCCCAATGGCATCAGGAAGGTCTTTAGAAGTAGCAGAGGGAAGCAGAGGAGGGAACCGGAGGTGGCAGTGTGAGAAGGGCTCAACTGGTCATTGCTGATTTTGAGGCTGGAGGAAGGGGCCAAAAGGTATGTGGGCAGCCCTTAGGAGCTGGAAAAGGCAGGGGAAGTTTCTCCCTTACAGTCCTTAGAAAGGAACGCATTCTGCCGACTCCTGGATCTTCGCCCACTGAGACAAAGTGGCTTTCTGACCTCCAGAATGGAAAGATAACAAATCTGTGTAGCTTTAAGCCTCAATTTTTGTGGAAACAACCCCTAATGAATGGGCCCGGGACTGTACCTCCTTCCCCGATGGATGAGCCTGCCTAGGCAGTCTGCATTTGCATCCCTGCTCTGCCACGTACCAGATGTTGGTGGCACAAGTTGCTTAATTTCTGGGCGCTGTGAGATAGAGATTGCTTTCCCCATCCAGCCGCCCACCCAAAGCTACAAAACAGAAGCAAGAGCGCGGGGAGTGGAGCGGGTCCAGAGCCGAGATGGAGTCGCTGTTCGCCTACCACGAAGGGGCCGCAGTTACGGTCCGCGCGGCCGCCAGGGGGCAGCAGAGCCCCACCCCCCGGCTAGTTTGAAGGCTTGACTGCGCTTGCGCGGCGCCCGCGGCGGCCGGGGACGGGAAGTGGGCGGGGCCGACCGGGAGCAGATTGCGGGACGCTGAGCGGTGAGCAGGCTGTCGAGACCCGCGGAGACCTAGGGTGAGGAGGCCAGGGGGACGGAATTGGAGGGCTGACGGGGCTGGGGCGAGGGTCAGGCGAGCGCCCAAGGCGCACAGGGGTGAAATGGGATCGAGGAACCGAAGGGGCGGAATCAGAAGGCTAAGGAGGCCGAGACGAGGCTCACATGGGGCACCCAGAGGGTGCGGGGTTGCAGTACTGGCGGCTGAGGGGCGAGAGGGGCCGCTGCGGACCTGAGGAACCCGAGGCTGGGAGTTGGGGGCCTGGGGAACCAAGGGGGCACAACTGGGGGTCGGAGGGGGTGTGGCCGAGCCGAGGGCCTGGTAGGGACCGAGGGCTGTGAGGCAGAATGGGGTGCTGAGGGGCGACGCGCCCCATTTTCCAAGATTTGGCCTCTCCCCAACCCCCAGAAGCCCCTGGATTGGCACGTTGCCCATACCCCCCCAGTCCCCGTACCTTCTAGGGGCCCAGTCTCTGCCCGAGGGGCCCGGGCTTGGCCACAGAGGCCAAGCACATTGCCCCTGGGTTTGGTCAGGCAAGCCCCTGAACCTGTCTGTGCAACAGGAAGAACTGGCTCCGACCGCAGGGATTTCAGCTCGGAGCTTGAGGCACAGTGAGGCCCACTGCTTGGTGGGGGCTCCTTCGAAGCCTTCCAGCCTGAGAGACTGACTGAGTCACACATGTCGTGGTGGCATTCCCCGGGACAAGTTTATTGGGCCTAGCTGTGCTCTCACCACGGGGTATCGAGAGTGGGGCCGACCAGCACTCTGAGGTCATCTCCAGTCACTTCTGTTGTCACATTTCGCTCTTTTCCTTCTGGGGGGCGAGGTGGAAGTGCCAGAGGCACCAGGCATCCAGAGACCTTGATTGAGTTCGCTCTGCTGTTTCCCACCTGTGTGAGACCTTAAACGGGTGCTTGCCCTCCTAAAATCTATTTCTTCATCTGCACGGTAGCCAGACAGTACGTACTTCTCAGCATATTTTGAGAGGCAAACAAAATGAATGCCTTTTTGAAAGCCATGAACCTCCACACAAGTTCATTTGTGGAATTCCTTGAGCTATGGCCTGAAGGCCGGGCGCCGTGGCTCACCTCTTTAATCCCAGCACTTTGGGAGACTGAGGTGGGTGGATCACCAGAGGTCAGGAGTTCAAGACCAGCCTGACCAGCTTTTCAAAACCCCATCTCTACTAAAAAAACAAAAATTAGCTGGACATGATTGGCACATGCCCATAATCCCAGCTACTCAGGAAATGGAAGCAGGAGAAGCCCTTGAACCCAGGAGGCAGATGTTGCAGTGAGCTGAGATTGCACCATTGCACTCCAGCCCGGGCAACAAGAGCGAAAATCTGTCTC